TGTGCGTGCTGCGTAAGGATGCATTCACGTTCGCTGGGAGATTTGAGAAATGTTCGTAAAAATCAAACAGTGTAATGTTTTCAGCGGGGTGGCAACAGGGGTGGCAAGGACTTCGTCTGGGGTGGCAATTGCCACCCCAACTAGCCCTCTAGCTCCGCCACTGCCCGCTGCCCCAGCAGAGCAAAAAGCATCATCAAGTACAGCTCCCACCCTAAGGGAGGCGCTACAGGTGCATCACAGCAAGGACAAACAGACTCAGAACAGTTTTTTCCTGAAAGCCACAGCCACCCTAAACGCACACATGCACTGACTGGACAGTAGCAACTGTGCAATATCCAGTACCTAAATGGTAACGAGAACTGTGCAATACCGTACACTGTGCAATATGTTCCAACATAATCTTCCACATGATCACTACACTACATATCACATTGGTATTCATATATTTAAAACTCTATTCAGTTATTTATTTCTAATATATATAGCACTAGAAAACTTTGCACTATTTGTTTATTGTTTGTTTATCACTTGTTTATTGTGTATTGTTTGTCGTGTGAACATGTTTGCACTGAAGGTGTCGCTCTTAATCTCACTATACAGTACATGTATAGTGACAATAAAAGGCATTCATTCACTATGGTGTCTTTATGAGTTCAACAAGAGGATCCCGTCTGATATCTCGGCTGAAGAGCTTCCGCAAGACGACACTGGTTAGTCTGTAGCTACCCCACGATCTTGCACCCCCCCCCCCCCCAAATATGCCAGCAGGGCCCATGGGGGTTTGCAGAGGAAGAGACTTTTACACACCTCCTGCAAGAACATCTGCCTGAGGAGCAGTAGCTAATGCTGAACCATGACTTCCTGTGAGACCATGACGGGACGTGATGTTTGCTCGCCAAAAATGAGACACCAAGCTCTGGCCTCGTTGGTCACAGACACACACACACACACATTTGTATTTGCATCCTTGTGGGGACTCTCCATTCATTTCTATGGGGAAAACTCTAATCACAACATGACGACCTTTAACCCCTACCCAGCCCTACCCTTAACCATAAATGACCAAATAAAATGCAAGAGTTTTGGCATTTTTAGATTTTCGATTTCAGTCATATATTTTTTTTATTTTTTATAAAATTGAGTTTTCCCCTGTGAAGAAAAAAAATGGTCCCGACAATATAATAGGTCATATAACAGGTTTATATCACACTGTAGTGACATTTGGATCCCACAATGAAATATATACACTCACCTAAAGGATTATTAGGAACACCTGTTCAATTTCTCATTAATGCAATTATCTAACCAACCAATCACATGGCAGTTGCTTCAATGCATTTAGGGGTGTGGTCCTGGTCAAGACAATCTCCTGAACTCCAAACTGAATGTCAGAATGGNCAAATCTGCCAGCAGGGCCCATGGGGGTTTGCAGAGGAAGCTAATTTTACACACCTCCCTTCGTGAACGTCTGCCTGAGGAGCAGTAGCTGATGCTGAGCCGTGACTTCCTGTGAGACCATGACGGGACGTGATGTTCGCTCACCAAAGAGGAGACACCAAGCTCTGGCATCATTGATCACAGACACACACACACACACGCACATTTGTATTCACATCGTTGTGTGGACTCTCCATTCATTTCTATGGGAAAACCCTAATCCCAGCCCTAACCTTAACCAAAAGTAAACCAAACAACATCAACATAATAGGTTTTTATCACACTGTAGGGATATTTGGTCCATACAATGTAATATAAGCATGACCCACACGTGCACAAGCACACACACAAACACACACACACTCTAGATGAGGCAGTTTGTGTGTCCTGATCTGTCCTGCTGCTAAATGTACACTCGCCGAATGAACCCACCCCCCACCCTCATCGATGGGGAGTCCCCCCCACCCCTTACCAGCCCTCCTACACTTTGGTGGGGCCAAGACCTGCAGATAGAGAAGCAGAGTGATGGTTTAAGAGAGAGAAGGTCAACCTAATTTCCGTTGCTTTAAGCACTACGCCCCCTGCTGGTGATTCAGCTTAATCCTCTGTAATCTGACCAGTGTCGGCCCCCACTGCTCCCATTGCCCTGGACAGTCTCAGAGACTGTCAGCAGAGCCCTTTGTGACGGTACACCAGGTCCGTATTTCTGCCTAATTTGATGTACATCTTGGTGTCTCCACACTAACCACCTTTCTCTCCTGCTCTCCCCAGCCTACACCCCCCTCAGACGCAGGGCCAGGCCCACCACAAAGTCTATTACAACCTGGCCTGGAAATGCACTCTCCGCACTACAGGACTGCTTCGAACAGACAGACTGGGACATATTTGAACACCAAGAGTTGGAAACACTCACAGGAACGGTACTGGACTATATTAAGTTCTGCGTCGGAAATGTGACTGTAGACAAAAACATACGGGTCTTCCCAAACCAGAAACCCTGGATGACCAGCCAGGTCCGTACACTCCTCAGAGCCCGCGACGCTGCTTTCAGGTCAGGTGACAGAGCTCTGTACAGGGCTGCCCGAGCCGATCTGAAGAGTGGAATTAAAAAAGCCAAGACGGACCAGAAGAGGAGAATGGAGTCCCACCTGTCCAGCCATAATACATGGGATGTGTGGCAGGGAATACAAACCATCACAAACTACAGAGGCTGTGATGCAACGACAGGAGATCTGAGTGCCGCTAGCAGAGGAGCTAAACGGCTTCTTTGCTCGCTTTGAATCATCACAACAGCAGCACTCACCTGCTCCAGTCCT